TCTTCAGTCTACCAGTAATTCTCGGCAGTATTTATTTTTCGATAACGTTTATCACAGCATAATAAAATCATGTAAAATGACAAGCATTAACAGATCAGCGCGGATAATTGAAATACAAACTGAAAAATGTACAAAATACACACATACATACAACACATTAACACAAAATACACACATATATACATCACATTTACAACTATACACATATGTACATACATGAGAAATTACATGGCAAAAATATACCTATAATATCAATAAATGACAACCACACATACAAAAAATCAAATTATGTACAGCTTACAATTATGCACAGACAATTAACATATTAAAAAAATTAATAATAGAAAGCTCTAGTACACAATTAAATTGAAGTTAACATATTTAAGATCACTAACGCTTTTTTCTTCGTTGTTGAATTCATGTTGAACCATTTAACAGACATCAATTCCAGATGTTATTTAACAAAAATTTTTTCTTCAAAAATGTTGCCACAAACCAAACCTCAAACCTGCAAAACAAGAATTTCAAACGTGTATTTTGCGAAAAATTCAACGTCAAAGTATGTTTTAAAACTATTTAATCATCAAACAATATATATATATTGAAGTATTGTGTAAAAGTAAACTAGAAACGGTGAAGAAAACAATCAACACGTGAAACTAACCCCTCTCATGTCTTTATCCGCACATCACCAGGTTTCTCAGCGATTCTGGTATAGGACATCGCTATCAATCCATGAAGAATCCGGAACATCCTGCTACCTACGGATCTTCCTGAAGTTATTCTGCACTTCTTCATTGCTCCAGAAGCTCATACCCACTTCTTTTATTCAGTATTTCGGACAATCGTCCCGAGTGGACATTTCTATCTTCATGAAGAGGTCGCATCATTCTCATAATGATTGAAAGTTAGCTGGCGAACCTCAACTTCGAGCTCATGAAGAAAATTTCTCGCTGAATAATGCATATTGGGCTTCGAATTTCTTCTTCAAGTCGCGACATGGTGAAACGGAATGAGAAATGACGCTTCTCGAATGAAACTCGAGAAGCTCACCCATTAGTCGCGACTTCAGCATCTTTGCCTAATTCTCGATTCTGCGATTAAAAAATTTATTGTCGTCACTTGATGCAACTAAATTCCACCCGATTTTTCCACAATGTGGATTATCGGGTCTTCATTGCATTCCTTAAACGGTTTCTGGTACAAGGAGAGGCATCCATTCATGCTTTACACTCAACACCATCTACTGCTGCTGCTCCGCAAGCTCCATATCATGTCAGTGGCTTCAGGAGTTCCACTATCCATCAACTTATCCAGAAGAGCCCCTTGAAGCCTGGAGGACTAGCGAAACCATTAATTGCCACATTTTATATTATCGATGTGGCTTTCTTCTCCCATACATCACTCAAACATGGCGAATCCGTATGGGGAAAATTAAAAATTCATAAAAACCCTAATGTGGATTATCGGGTAGAACTATCCTCCGTAGAACCTTCAGAGCGTTGAATGTCGGCACTTCCAAACCTCCTTCATGACATTCTGCTTTTCAAATCCAAGAGGTTGCCAGTGCCGACGGAGCAGAGCCTTTCAAAATTTTGAAGCCAGGATGGTGGCGATTCACTTTCTTCTGCAATAAAACACAAATTAATTTTCCAAAAACGTACTGGAAATTGGTTTTTTTTTCATTCACAAGAGCACTACAAAAAGAATATCAACTCTCTA